AAAGTAAGCCTCATTTGAAGTGATGTCCTCTCCTTCTCAAGTATCCAGACTGTCCTCTTTTGAAAAGATTCTCTCGCTATACTGTATATAGTTTATGCTGCTCCTTCATAGTTCTCGAAACTTTCATTTTGGCCGCAAAGTGATTTAATCTTACGTGTTTTACAACACTTAAACATCATTGCAGCCATAAGTCAAAATCCCGTTTACGGACAAGCAGTTGGCTTTCGAACGAAAATTTATCACAATAAATCCGTCTTCAGGAGAACTACCTTTTATATACCTAGAGCATAGGTCAAATTACACAAGTTTCATGAATTCTAATTAATCCTCCCATCAAAACTTTTCTTATCCTATCTACTCGAAAATTAGTGGGGTTTTTTCTTTTTTTTTCAACTTGACATACATCTTAAAACTAAGAGATTCGAAGCTAAGACCGCAACAAAATTCGCAGATGAAATATGTATATAAACACTACAAAATAGCAATTAAGTTTTTTCCTTCGGAGTTTTATAATAAAATCCTCCACTTTAATCATTAAAATGTAAAATTATAATATAATGAAGAAACAAATTATCCTTAACAGCTGGCACTCCTCCTCTTTGCTAAAACTGACGAGATTTCTGTGCAGGACTAGTATGATTTTTGCATTTTACAAACCCTCCCCTAAATCCATCCCATTCCCGAACCCCCATCAAGGCTGCGCCTTGGACCTGCTGGAGGCCTAGGGCGGCCCTAAAATTTCCGGTCGCTATGGTTTTTGCCTCACAAGAATTTAAAGTCAAGCACAAGAAACAAGCAAAAAATCGTAGTTTTATGTATTCGTAAACTTAGAAAGCAATACAACAACAGCTTTAACTTCATTGGCGTTTTGAAACCTATCTTGAGCCGTGTCATCAATATCGGGATGTACTAAATACATAAATTATGATACATCACTGCTCTGAAGAAATAATAAGCATATGATTCCATTCTTACTTTTGCACACGCAAACGGGCATGAAATCGTATTTTTTGAGACCATATACACCATGTCCCGTATTGCTGTTAATGATCCCTCGCTGCTCAATTGCCGTAAGTACCCGATTAGTGGTCTAAATCTGCAGACTTCTACCGGCACTTTGTAGCATTCCAATTTTGTAGCATTCCAAAAACTGGTGAAATATTGAAGAAGGGAAGTGAGGCAAACAAACAAACGAAAAAGTGTAGTTTTATTATATTAGTTGAGTTTGTTAAAGCCTTTGCCAGTGGTGATGGCGAAGAAGCATATTGACCCCTATCATCTATTCCTTATGTATAGGTCAATGGTTGTAGTCCTTAGCATATTAATATGTGAAAAAAGACAATTATAATTGTATAGCCATACTAAACAAACGTTGAAGTTTGCGGATATGGAAAACGCATTCTACCAATAATTGCATGTTACATGTTAATAATGTACAACGCTGTTTATTTTATTACAGTGCACATAATTTTCAAATCTTCCACTCAGCATGTTCTTATGAAAATTAGTATCAAATACACATTGTACCAAGTTCATCAATGCCAGTAAATAAGTGCTTTAAGTATAAATCCTATAACTACTCTATATTTCTCGATATTTCAATTAATATGGCAATAAAAATATTATTACCTCTGTGAAAGGCGGTTGCAAATAAGTGGTATATGGTAAGTGGTTGCTTGTAGCTTTACACACTTCTAGAAAGACAGCTACATGTAAAGGATTAGGTAATACTTGTGCCTCAATGGTGGGGGTTTACGGCTACTAAAACAGAATGGCCATCGAATCTCAATCATCTCTATTACAGATAAGCTAAGCCCAAGGAGAGTGCATTACCGCAAGTGTCTCTCTAAATCTGGTCCGGGACAGCGCGCTGGTAACGCCGGAATTTCTATCACGGCTGTTTTAGCGGTCCTTGCACGCTCCTAGTATAAGGTTTTTATCGCAGCTTTTAACGACTACACAAAATGGGAGAATAGATAAACAATATCGACCAACTCGTTCATAAATCTATCTCAATTTATGCTCGTAATGCCATAGTTTTATGATCTGTAAATAACTCATTAAGTTCTGGAGGGGTACCGTCGCCGCGGACCAGTATATAGCACCATCTGCCCAGGATAAAGACAGGCATTTCACCGAAATGAACAAACATGATCCGTTTTAGTGCCTTGATGGGTTTATCTTTCACTTATTGACACATTGACTTAAACATGGGTAAATATTTTCCTTTTCATGCAATTAAATTTACACACCATGAAAACATAATCCTTGATTTCGGACCTATTTTTTATCTATATGTGTAGGATGATCAAAACCACTATTTTGTCTTTTGACGTCAACCGTTTCTCACCGTGATCTTAAGCAAAATTTATAATAAAAATCAGGTACTTTCATTAATTAAATTTTATAGAATAAATGCATCTTCCTCCTCAAAAAAAAAATATTCAGGTACATGTACTAGTATATCCTACACTCCGCGTAGAGATCAATGCATCTGGGGAGATGTTGGATATCTATAAATAAAAACTTATACTTATTAAGATTTCAGTTAATGTGGGGATGAAAAATATTACATTTTGAATCGTTATTGCAATTTGAATCGTTATTACAATTTGCACATTTTGTTTTAAAGTGTGTATTCTGAAAAAAAAAAAATCTCCACAATTTGAATGTTATGATTACGAGATGCCAGGAGGCGTATTGACAGTTTTAAACGATATCGCGTTTGTTTTATTATTCTGTACAAAAGGCACAGGATTGCGCATAATTTTTAACAATCTTCATTAAAGATGACTAAAAACTGCAAATACCATGAACATTTTTAATTAAAGTAACGTTTTTTTAAAGTGTCACGAAACCTTAAAGGAACCATAATTTAAGATTGTAAATTCGAGATAGTTTCTGGCATGTCGTAAATCTTTCATCTCAAAAATTATAACGGAATATCAACATATATTTTTACACATCTTTGATTGCATGCATTTTTCAGAAACTTGAACTGCGACCAAAATTTGACGCTTAAGTCAATGTTTCTCTTCTATACAATTATATATGTATACATTATCAATGAAATCCATTTGAAAAAATAAAAACAACAAATTTGCGCGATCACTTTGCTTGAAAAGAGAAAACATACTTAATTTCGTTTACATCAAAAACAAAGAAAAGAAAATTTAAGGTGTTCTATCCCTAATGGAACCTAATTTTCTCTCCTTAAATATCCAACATGTATAAAATACTTTGAAATTAATTTAAGCATTTTAGAGTAGAAAAAAGATTAACCGAGGGAAATTCTAAAAATAAATGAAAAATGTTAAAAATCCATGTGCCACATTGCTCACCTGAGTACATTGGCTAGGAAAAAGCAGAAATCAGTATTGAAAAGATTAAATATATGTGATCCCCCCCCCCCACCCGGGAAAGGGGAGCATGATTTGTTAAGATTAAATCTAAAGTAACTGAGGATGCTTTGGTATTTCCTTGACTAATCATGACTTTAGATTTTTTTTCTATACGTTTGATTTTCTATTGTGGCCCCACCCTACCCTTGCGGAACAAGATTTGAACAAACTTGAATCTACACTACCTGAGAATGCTTATGTATTAATATGACCAATCATGGATATGCTGTTCTTGGGAAGATTTTTTAAAAAAAGATTTTTCCTATATATTCCAAGTGTAGAACTTTGATCGAACATCCTATCCCAAGGGGTCATGATTTGAAAAATTTGAATCAACATTACCCGAGGATGCTTCCATATAACTAATCATGGTTTTGCTGTTATTGAGAAGAAGATTTTTTTAACATTTATCATATGTATACGTATTCCCATGTAAAATTTTGATCGCTCATTGTAGCCCCTCCCTAGTCCCAGGGATCATGATTTAAACAAAGCTGAATCTACACTACCTGAAGATGCTTCCATATAAATATGACCAAACCTCCCTTTGCTGTTCCTGGGAAGAAGATTTTTAATGATATTGTTTCTATGTATTCCTATGTACAACTTTGATTGCCCATTGTAGCCTCTCCCTACCCACAGAGATCAACAGTTAAACAAACTTGAATCTATACTACCTGAGGATGCTTCCATATAAATATGACTAATCATGCCTTTGCTGTTCTTGGAAAGAGGATTTTTTTACCTATGTATACCCATGTAAATCTTTGATCGCCATTGTGGCCCCTCCCTAGCCCCTGGGGTCATGATTTGAACAAACTTGAATCTACATTACCTGAGAAATATGACCATGTACCGGTACTCATGACTTTGCTGTTCTTGAGAAGATTTTTAAAGATTTTTCCTATATATTCCTATGTAAAGCTTTGATCGCCCATTGTGACCCCCAGCCTAGCCCTGGGGGTCATGATTTGAATAAACTTGAATCTACACTACCTATAATTGTTTACCTGATAGGTCTTTTAAAATTTATTTCGTTGATTAAAACAAGGGAGATA